TATTGGGCTTGGGCATGCCCATGAGAGGCCAAGCTGTAAAGCAAGACAGGCTGCTGCTAGTGCCTGGTCTTGGGCCTCTTACTGATATGCCTGGGGCATGCTGACGCCAGCTGCTGCTTGTTTAAGAGGTTTTGGGAAAGTCTGAAGCCTGAACCAGGACAGGCCATTTGTTTGGGAAAGCTGCTGCAAACAGCTTGGGTGGGGCTGCATGAGTGTATCACTCATGGATGGATGTGTAGAGTTATAATCTGGCCTGGTCTGAAGCTGTCCAATGGGTTCACTGGCTCTGGGGCCTCCCAGGAGGTGCAAAGTCAACCATTGCCTGGGGCCACCCATTGAGAGCTGCAGAGTCATCTGCAGATGGCTGCTACTTGTATTGGGCTTGGGCATGCCCATGAGAGGCCAAGCTGTAAAGCAAGACAGGCTGCTGCTAGTGCCTGGTCTTGGGCCTCTTACTGATATGCCTGGGGCATGCTGACGCCAGCTGCTGCTTGTTTAAGAGGTTTTGGGAAAGTCTGAAGCCTGAACCAGGACAGGCCATTTGTTTGGGAAAGCTGCTGCAAACAGCTTGGGTGGGGCTGCAGATTGGATGTGGTGAGATCTCAGGGAGTCACCAGGACAGAGCGGTGAGCCAAGCTGATATGGCTGCCAGTTAGCTCTGCTACAGGCGAGGTCCCAGCACAGGAACAATGACCCCTGCAAGCACCCCCATCTGGGAGAAAGCTGCCCCCAGTTCTTACCCTGGTACCAGACAATCCATTTCCTCCTCCAATGTCCCAGGTGCCTTTCAAGCTACCGCCCCAGGGCTGGAGCTCAGAGGGATTGCGTCTGAGTAAGTCCATGTGCCGGCCCTTTAAGAGGAACTGCTGCAATCCTGCAGCCTCCATGTCACTCAGCCACAATCCCAGCTGGTTTTTACAGCCTGAAGTTTTACGGGGATCCTCTTCCCAGCTCTGGAACCCTGGGTGTGGGGCTGGGATCCCTTGCTCCTCATAGGTGGCCTCTGCAGCCACGATATCCCTCCTGATTTAAACAATGCCACATGTGGGTGTCAGACCAGCCCATCCCTCCTCCGCCCCTTCTACTAGTCTTGAGGTGCTTTCTTCTTTGCTTCTCTAATTGTGGGACTTCTATTCAGTCAGATTTCAGTGGTTTGAATGACGGTTGTTCTGTGTCTTAGTTGTAATTTTGATGCTGTGGGAGTCAGCAAGTACCACGTTTACCAAACCACCATCTTGGTTTTCCATGCGTACAAGTCTTTATGGAGACATATGTCTTCCTTTCTTGGGCAGATACCTAGGGGTGGGAGTGCTGGGTCATGTGCTTGGTGTATTGGGCTTGGACATGCCCAGGGGAGGCCAATGAGAAGCTGCCAAGATATTTTTACAAGTAGTGTTCCCACCAACCATGTGTGAGCATTCCAGTCACCCTGAGGGCTTGCCAGCACTTGGTGTTGTCAGTTTATTTCATCGTTGCCATTCTTGTGCGTAGGTCATGGCATCTCTTTGGAGTCTTAATTTGTGTTTAGCTAATGACTAGTGTGCCTGTGAGCCATTCCTATTATCTTCCTTCATGAAGTGTCTGTTCAAATCCTTTGCCCGTTTTTCTCTTGGGTTGTTGGTCCTACTGTTACTAAATTTGATGGGTGCCTTTGAAACCCACAATATGCCCCCCCAAGTGCGCTGGCTTCAGAGGCGGCGTGAAGCTGTGTTTAGGAACACAGGCTTTAGTAGACCATCTGAGCGTGGACCTAGGGAGGGAGGGCAGGCGTGGGGAGCCATTGTAACAGGAGAGTCCGCAGCTGACTGGGAGGCAGGCCCAGGTCCTTGAGCAACTTGTTCTAATCTTAGAAGTTATGCCTCAGCTTTCTGCTGTGGCCTGAAGGACAAGCATCCCAGACCTCGGGGTGCAGTGACTGTCTGCAGACAGTCA